AAAAGCAACTTAAGCAGGCCAAGTGAGTACTGGCCACTCTCTGGCAAGCAATAACTTCTAAAAAATGTGAATGCCCGAAACGCGAACTAACCGACGTTTTCGTGAGTAGCACTGGTGGCTGCAGTCCCAGCACCAAACGCTAAGGAGAAGTCGGCGCCAAATGTATTCGTTGTGCCCATATTTGAATAAATTGAAAATTCTGAAGCAGTGAAAAATAATAAAGCCAAATATATCACAATTTTGCTCTTCAATTATAATAGGAAATTCATTTGTGCGGAAATTCATCCGTGACTATCACGCCATCCGCAAAACAATCAGAACCATAAGCATACACCAAAAAAAAAAGAGATCAATCCAAGATTTATTGTGCGGGAGATGTCCTTAAACTGGCTTATGTGCTAGTTATGCACAGCGGATTTAAGCAGATGACAAATCCGCAGACAAGTGTTGCCATTACTTTGATATTATAACGACCAGCGTCACAGCAACGTATTTTATGCGACTACCAACTCCTCTGTAGCAGGAAAAGTCTGGAAAGTGGAGCTTCGATAAACAGTTAAATTGAGAAGAGGGATGAGGCAGGGTGCATGTGATAGTGGCAGAATGTCTCTTCCTCCCGAAAAAAACCTGAATGGTATTTATTAACTTTCTGTCGTAGCAACAAGTTTTTAAATTTAAATGAAACACTCTGAACTGCTGGAACAAGAACAGACCCGGCGCGGAGGAATTGGGAGACATAACGGAAGCTGTCTGCTGCTGGAAAGCATTCTGCGCAAAAGGATTTGTTGGGTCCAGAACCACCGGCTGTGATGTGGCACTTGCTGGAGCCATTCCGTATGCCGTTGTAACTGTCACTGTTCCCGCTGGCATTGGGTCGAAGAGGCCCAGAAGGTCGTCGCTTGGCTTTACTGGCAAAGATCGAGCAGAGCCGGTGCCAGCTGGCGCCTGGGCCGCTGGCGCTGCGAATGGATTGAGCGAATGTGGCGCTGCCGCATCCGTCGCTGTTGAGCCAGCTGCTGCTGCCGCTGCTGCTTGTCGCTTTCGTTGTTCCTGTAATAAAATTATTAGCCATAATATACGGATATAAAATTATACCAAAAAAATAGATGAACAGGAGTGTTTCGGCCCATCAAGTCATAGACATAACTATCGCAGCTTCAGATCATGCGCATTAAATAAAAGGGAAGAGCGTATCAAAGAATGGGCGCAATTAAATCTATTTGCAGTAAAATGCTGCGTGCTTATAGTCAGTAAATGTGACAGAACATAGAGGAGTTCCTTTTCTTTCGCTACGGTGGTTTTTTTAATCTAATCGATCGACGATAAAGCGCAGTTTATTAGTAAGGAAGTTGTGAGATTTGATGTTCCAAGCTGACTGATGTAACGCCATGTCAAGGCAAATTATGCTGATGTAAGAAAAAATCCCTAAATTTCTTAATTTCTGGATGTATAGACAAAAAGTGATTTCGTATCTAAGGGTTATAAGCTCATCGGACGCCATGTTTCAGCGATTTCAGCTTCCTAGCTTTCGTAGTCCTGAATTTCAGTTATCATGATAAGCATGAAGGGAATCGAAACCATAAACACCGGCATAGTTTCACTTTATGTTCTGCAAAACAATTCGTTTGTAGCGAACCTCTATGGTTAATTTTCTAGCTGTCCCTGACTTGACATCTTAAAAAGTTACAACAATATATCCACGTCTCGAAGGTGCATTCACAGC